TTTTTTTTTTTTTTTTTTTAATACGCCGCCCCCACCAGTGTTAGTGGTGCTGATAAGAGCAGACACCACTAGCACCAGGCTCCATCTATTGGTTGGGACATTGGGGAGCATCACCTGCTGGAAAACGGGTCCAGCGTCCCATATACAGAAAATGAGAACGTCTGAGAACGGTGAGAACAGTGACCATGGGGCCTGCCGGCATTGATTGCCCTGCGACTCAGGGGTCGACTGAGCGGGCCTATATTCCACACTCACACTGCATTCAAATCTTTAGCCACTCACCCCCCGATACCATTCCATCTCAACCAAAGCTAAGGGAGGGGGCGGGAAAAATTCAGTAAAGTCTGAGAGGGGCTGAAGTGGGTCGATCTTTGTCCAATCTGGAACCATAGGTGATAGTCCCTTTCCCCTTCCTTCCGCCCTGACCAGTCCCTTCATCAGTATTGTGTTCTTTTGTCAGTTCGCGTCATTAAGAAAAACGATGTGACATCGTTCCGGAGGAGAAGCTAGGAGAGTAGGGGGTGTTGCTTTCCCCCCCTGTTCCTCTGGGAGTGTAGGGAGGGCCTTTTTTCCATCCCCTATTCAAATGGGGGGTAAAAAAACAACACCCCCCCCCCCTTCCTCCCTAATTCTCTGCCACACTGGTGAACCCTTGCGTCCTTGTGTGCAACAATCCGATCTTGCCGGAAGGATACCGGATTTTGCAATCTAGTTCGCGCACAGTGTTTCTTTTTTTCTTCTTCTTCTTTTGTTTCCCTCTTTTTTTTCCCTTTTTTTTTTCTTTTCCTTTTTAAAGGGGCGATGGCTTTGACATAGGGGTCTTCAGAAGGAATCAGCTGGACAACCGAGTGACAGAGTGCTGTGGGTAACTGTCATTGGTCTAGTATCCCACCTCTACATTTTTTTATTTTTTTTTAACTATACTCTTCTCTCAATTTTTTCCTCGCACTACTACCTACCACTACTCCTACCTATAACCGTAGCATACCAGAGCCGTGTTTTTACGGCCCCTCGAGCCTGCAGGATACCGGCCAGGGGACGGTAGCACCAGGGATAAAGCGGACCAATCCCCCGTGCCTCCCCTCAGGCCCCTCCCCTACGAACATAGCAGACTCTGCTTGATGCCTATCGGGGGATCCAGTGGTCTATCTCTTGGGTAGCGGGTGCCAAGTAAGCCCAGGAAGGCATGAGGACAATGGGGATTGAACCCATGACCTCCTGAATGCCACTTGCGAGCCTTACCAACTGAGCTAGGCCGCTGGATATCCCACCTCTACAACAACCTGGGCTTTAAAATAATAATAAAAAAAAAAAATAAAAAAAATCATCATCTAGCTGACGGGCCCTAGGGAATTCCCAATTGTATTATTTTACTCACCCGCACTCACTGGAGTTTGAACTCAGCACCTGGTCTGTATTTCAACAATTCAAAAAAAAAAAAAAAAAGTTCAGTTCAGGGGTGTAGCAACTGAGCTAGGCCAGTTGGTGCGCAGAGTGTTTCCAACTTTCCACCTGGAGCATGGTCCCATTAGCAGTCGGATAGGACTGGCCGATCCGGTGTGACAACGAGTGGCAGCAGGCTGACAGGTTCATTACGAAATGAATTTCTGGGCTGAGAAAAGAGGAGAAAGGCAAAGGAAAAAAAAAGAAACAGAGACCGCCCACCGGAAATCAGGGCAGAGTGCTTCCCAACCATCAGATCATTTGGTGGTTGCAACAACAGTGAACAAAGTAACCGCCACATTTTCTGGAATAAACTTGACTTCTGTCAGCACTGATCCTGACACCCTCCATATACTCCGTGATTGAAGGAGGGCTCCACCCAATGAGATAATTGCACGGCAGCAAGTAAAATACTGAAAATCTTCTATCCACTGGGGCTATGGCCGACCCCACCCTCTGTTGGGGTTGGCCACAACCCCAACCGATTGAAAAGATTCTGGCGAGAAGCTTTCTTTGCACGGGCATGCCTAGTGTTAAGGAGAGGAGGAGGGGAACAAAGATCTCCTTACTTTTTCGGGTAATACAGGTAAAACACTGACCGTGGGATCACGAGTACTGCACAGCAGGATTTGGGTCACTCAACTGCCCCACAAACTCGTTTCTATCCTATCACGTTGCTAGTGGGACCCTGCTCCTGGAGTGGATGAGGCAGAAGGGCCATGCTGGAGTGAGGATACTTCACTCTCAGACTGGTTCTATTTGTTGGCACATTATGTCCTCCACTAGAGTAAAGCCCCACATGATTCGCTCCTTTTCACATTTGTTACATATACGTGAATTTGCTTTTTCTTTTCTTAAAAAAAAAGAAAAAAAAAAGGCTAATTCTTTTAAACCCAACCAATTCAATTACCTGTCAAATCCGGGCACGAAGACCTTTCTTTTTTCGTAATTATAGTATTATAGGGAACCCCGTAGCAGCCACATCCGTGCTGAAGCCTCCAACGAGGGAACATGCGGGAGCTGCACCCACCAGCAGGTGCAATAATTGCTACAGCAGGTGGGCGATACCGGTCAGGGGTCAGCCGGTAGCATCAGGACCGAGCTTCTTTGATGGGCCAGTCGCTGTGCCTCCCCTCCGGTCCCCTCCCCCTATGAACATCAGCAGTCTCTGTTAAATGCCACTCGGGTGGACCGACAGCCTATCTCTAGGTGGCAGGTGCCAAGCTTGCCCAGGAAGGTACATGAGGCCAATGGGAATTGAACCCAAGCCCTCCTGAATGCCACTTGCGTGCCTTACCAACTGAGCTAGGCCGCTGGATATTTTTCCCAATTTGACACTTGAACTCTGATACTATGAGGACTTTTTTTTGTTCTTTTTCACCCGATTGATGACTACGACCTTATTCGTGAGGAGTGTATGTGGCGTGCCAACTTTCGTGCTTGAACGAGCTTCCGAAGCCCTGGGTTCTGCTATTCTTTTCTTGTCAATCTCTAACGGGCTTTGGGTACCTTCTTTTTTGACGGACGGGTGATGCATGGAATCAATGGCCGCTGACGCCTTCCCACTTCAAAACATTTTTGCTTTCTCGGAATTTTTGGAATTTTTCTTTGTTTTTCTTCAGAAATCCCAGACTTGCGTAAGAATTACAAACGCCTTAGCGAGTGTGCTAGGAATTTTGTTCAACAGTTGAGAACTCCAAAATTTGCAGGCGCAATTCCCGCTGACGTGTCCTTTCTTGAAAATGAGTGTTCCCAAATTAGCCTCGGAAAGCTCTGTGAATTTTCTGAAGAGATTTGAATAGGCCTAGGATTTTTGCACGTCTAATTCTACGTGCAGGTATTACTTTTGAATTTTTCAATCCTGAACTAGTTTTAGAGCTAGGATGGACGAAGCGTAACTGTTTCTCAGTGGCTTTTTGTTTCTGTATCAGCGCGATGTATGCAAGTCTCCCCCGCTTTCCGCTGCATCCCAAGCCATATTCGCCTTTCTCTCCTTCGCGCCTTCTTCCCTTGACCCCCAACTGTTTTCCATCCCCTTTTCCTTCGCACTTATTTTCCCCTCCCCTCATCTGAATCTTGGTCCCACACAGCACCGCTCTTCGCCGCCTATCCTTCCCTGCCTTCGTCCTCGTACAGGAAGTCCCTATCTATCCCCTCTCCTTCCCTGCCTGCATCCGAGTTCTCACCCTGCTCATCCCTTTCAGTCCGATTGGGTCTCATGCGAACAAGCATCATTGAACTTAAACCACCAGTACCTCGCCCCGCTTGGAAAATCCAACGTGGCCCCCCACCGACCGGCGACAGGTAGTCCCAAAAAAACGGGCACGAAAAAAAAAAAAAAAAAAACGGCTCCCAAATGTAAAGTAGCAACGTAAAAGTAACGGGCGTGGCAGGGCGGGGGAAGGAACAGCCATTTCATCAAAACGGACATATTATATTTTTTTTACGAAATCAAAACTGACTTTTTTTGCCAAAATCCGGTCGGAATTTTTTGCTCCTGGGGGTCCGGCGTTCGGACCACCTACATGTATCTGGTCTATGGTTGAGACCAGATACAATTTTTATTTATTTATTTATTTATTTTTTGGTATCTGGTCTCAACCATAGACCAGATACATGTAGGGGGTCCGGCGTTTTGGGAACGCCAGACCCCCAGGAGCAAAAAATTCCGACCGGATTTTGGCAAAAAAAGTCAGTTTTGATTTCTTTCAAAAAATATAATATGTCCGTTTTGACGAAATGGCTGTTAAGGGTGTGAAGAACGAGAGAGACAGAGAGAGAGAGAGAGAGAGAGAGAGAGAGAGAGAGAGAGAGAGAGGGAGAGAGAGAGAGAGAGAGAGAGAGAGAGGACGCCCCGTGTCTCTCTCTCTCAACGATGAAACGAGAATGAATCTTCCGCGGAAGATTCATTCTCATTTCATCGTTGAGAGAGAGAGAGAGAGAGAGAGAGAGAGAGAG